AATATAATATTCCGGAGGGCAAAGAAGATAGGATTACAACCAAGAATCACCTACCCGGTAAAACTTGAGTATAATCCTTCAGGGGAAAAAATGGATATTCAGTGAAATAGAGGACTTTCAAGCATTCTTGATGAAAAGACCAGAGCTGAATAGAAAATTTGACTTTCAAATACAAGACTCAAGTGGAACATGAAGAGGTAAACAGGAAAGAGAAATCATAAGAGACTTATTAAGGCTGAACTGTTTACATTCCTGCATGGAAAGATGATATTTATAACTCATGAGATCTTTGTCAGTATTGACAAAGTAGGGGGAGGGGAAAAATTATATGTATAATAGATAGATAGATAGATAGATAGATAGATAGATAGATAGATAGATAGAGGTCACAGGGTGAGTTGAAGATGAAGGGGTGATATCTGGAGAATAAAATTAAGGGGTGAAAGGATTATACTAGTAGGAGAAAGGGAGAGGTAGAATGGGGTTCTTACAGTGGAAGGGAAACAGGGTAAGATGAGAAAAATGAGGGAATCTTATTCTCATAGGATTTGGCTTAAGGAGGGAATAACACACACATTCAATTGGGTATAGAAATCTGTCTTACCCTACAGGAAAATAGAGGAGGAAGGGGACAAGAGAGCAGGGAGGTGATAGAGAGAAGGGCAGTTTGGGAAAGGGGTAATCAGAAGGAAGTACTTCTGAGGAGGGACAGGGTCAAAAGAAAGAATAGAATAAATGGGGGGGGCAGGATAGGATTAAGGGAAAAAGAGTTAGTTTTTCACAACATGTCTACTATGGAAATGTTTTGCATAACTGCACATGTATGGCCTGTATTGACTTGCTTGCCTTTTCAATGAGAGTGGATGGGGTGGAGGAAGGGAGAAAATTTGGAACCCAAAGTTTCAAAAACACATGTTTAATAAAAAAAAAAAAAAGAATCCCAGGCTCCTTTCAAAACTCAGCTCAGGGGCCACCTCCTACATGAGGCCTTTTCTGATTATCACTCCTCTCCCCACACACACACCCCAGTTGTTGGTCTATCTACACAAACACACACACACACACACACACACACACCACACACACCAGTTGTCAATAGTCTCCATACATACATGTACACACATATACACATACACACACACACAATTTTTTATATTTACTTTGTATCATCTTTGTACATCTTAGTAGGACATAATGTCCTTAAGGAAAAGTTTTCTTTCATTTTTGCCTTTGTATTCCCAGTGCCTGCCACAATACCTTGCATACAGTAAATACTTAATAAATGCTAGTTGAAATAAGCTGAACTGGGCCACATTTTTACATGAGAAAACAATCCTTGTTTAATATTTAAGAATATATCTAGTATTAATGAAAAAAATTATCCCATCTTTTAGAAGTGGGACCCATGCAGTCTAATTCCCAGGTCCCCAAGTGAGCCTCAGCATTTCTGCCCTTTGAAATACAACTACAGCATCTATTACTTCTAGTGGCAGGCTCAAAAGAAAGATAATAAATTAAATTATGTCCTGAAGTGACAAATTAATTACTAATTATACAATTACTTTATTATTTAGGTGCTAATCAGAAAAGTACTTTGAGCAATTTCCAGTTTTCAGGAAAATAATGGTTTGACTCTCGATTATTTACTGAATTAGGTACTACTTTGGCAGATGCATTTCCTGGCTTAATTCTTTTTCTACAAGTGCCCTATAATTAATAGTGCAGGTTAGTAATAGGTTGGCCTCTCTTGGAAGTAATTCACAGACCTAAAACAAGGCTGAGGCTTTTCAGGTATTTTATGACTGATAAAGAAATAATTGGGTTTGTTTCCGACCAGCTGGTCTTCAAAGAAAATGCCAAAGGAGAATGAATCTGTCGTTGTAATTTTTCACTGGCCTTTCATTTTAGAAAAATGATTTCCATCAAAGAATACCTTTTGTCAGATAAGCTAGTTTTTTCAATTGGAATACAGGGGTTTGGAAATTTCTCCTTGAATCACGGGAAGGAGTAGAAGAGAAGAGTCTTCAGGGGCTGAGGTGGTCATAGCCAGCTCCCTGTTTTCAGGTAGGATGGTTGTTTATTGCCTCACCTTGAGAGATACTTATTCTGTTCCTCTAGGTAGAGTGTAAGCTGTCTTCAAGCACTAATGGTATTTCACTACTCTATGTCTTCCATAGTAGTGAGCACATGGCCATGAATATGGCTAATATTAGTCAACCAATTGGCTCCAAAAGACCTACCAGGAAAGAAATTGATATCTCCTCTGTCTCTTCCAATCAGAAAGTCCTTCACTGAGTCTAACCTAACACTCATTTTTCCTTTTACAATTTCATTCTATTTTTTCCTTGCTTTACTTAGGGGAAGGGAACAAGAGTCAACAAATTTAAAGGCAGTTAAGGAAGCATGGTATAGTCAAGGTTCATCAAGCAGAGGCTCATCACAAAATCATAAATTATAAGTGGAAGGAACCTGGAGATCATTCTAGACCAGGGGTGGGGAGCCTGTGGCCTGGAGGCCACGTGTGGCCTTCTAGGTCCTCAGGTGTGGCTCTTTGACTGAATCCAAACTTCACAGAACAAATCCAACGTGTTTTGAGGTTGGTATGTATGAGTAATAAGTAATTTATTCTCTAAATACTACATTCACCATGCTAAAATACGCTGGGTAAGTAAAACTTACATTAAAATTATTTACATGTTTTCTTTTATCTACAATAACATAACATTTCAATTTTATAGCCCACCTACTGAAACTCTCAAGCCACCAAAATATAACAAAGAACCTGACAGAACTCCTCATGTAGACCCATCCTCTCATTTTACAAATGAGGAAACTGAGGACAAGAAAAATCAAGTGACTTGTCCAAAGTGACACAAGTAGTAAATAATATGTAAGTTCCAGCAGAATATAAACACTTCGAGGACAAGAGCTGTTTCATTATTGTCTTTGCATTTCCTATGCCTTGCATGAAAAAGATAATAAATGTTTATTTGTGGAATTGAAGTCACAAAATGGGGATTTCAATCAATCAACACTTATTAAGCACCTACTATGCGTCAGGCACTATACTAAGAGCTGGATTTGAACCCAGATGTTCCAATTTTGAGTACAGTGAGTTTCCACTATAACACACTACCTTATAACACAGTACCTATAGTCTAATGTAATCTCCTGGAAGGCAGGGGCCATTTCAGTTTTGTCTTTGCGTTGCCAACACCTAATACTGTACCTGGCACATAGTAGGTGCTTAATAAATAAATATATATATTATCTAATATAATATATGCAAACGATTAATATAATATGATATTATATAATAATAAATGCTTGCTTGCATGATTGATTGCAAAGCACTAGACTGGACACTGTTGAAGGGAGGATACAAAAGAAACCGAAAAAATCCAGCCCCAGCCTTTAAGGAGTATTTATGATCTAACTGGGAAGAGATGTTGCACATAGCAGATGAAATGGCTTTAGTACTCTTGGCATTGGCATACATTATATGATTCTTTTAGTAGCAGATTTACCTTCCTAATTATGTTTTGCTTGAGCTAATATTAAAATGAATTTTCATTCCCTGAACACACAGCAGCTGGTAGCAGGGGGAGATGACTCAAGAGCATGTTGAGTGCCAGGGGAAGCCTGGCTCAGATTTAAAATTTGCCGCGAATCAGGCACATGTGAGTAACTGAGAACCTCATGTAATTAGTGCTAGAGGCTGGCATCAAGATGCCTGGATCAAGTTGTCATCTTTGACTGCAGGATTAACTCCCTAGAGGTTGGTCCGCTAAACTAGAGACTTAGATTCACCCCTGCTTCAACCTGGCCAGAGCGCTGGGACTCAAAGTGCTTAGAGCTGACATGCCCCTAGAAAGAGCAACCTGTAAGATGCCCACAGTCACCATTCTTCACAGGACACTCCTAACCTAAACCTCAAATCACATCACAGTCCCAGGAGCTCCTCCCACCTATAGTCAGTGCCCAGATCTCCAAGGATCAGTAAAGTATGCACAGGACCTGTCCCCATAGTCCAAGAGTAAAGCATCCTCTTTCTAGCTCAATCAAGGCAACTCCTCTCAAGAGGAGATTTTTCTCTATCTCTCTCTGTCTCTCTATCTCTCCCCCTTCCTTTCCCTCTCTCTCCCTCTCTTCCTCTTCTCTAGTCCCTCCCTCCCCACCTTCCTCCTTCTCTGTCTCTGTCTCTCTCTGTCTCTGTCTCTCTCTCTCTCTCTCTCTCTCTCTCTCTCTCTCTCTCTCACACACACACACACACACACACACACACACACACACACACACACACACGCAAATACAATCCTTGTCAGCTTCATATCCACAAACCTATCTCACGACTTACCCTGGGAAAAATGGTGAAATAAATGAAGTTTCTCTCCTGCACCCCTAGTCATCCCTTTCTGCACTTCTCTTGAGTGAGTTTAATGATGAGTAAGTTTCTCCTTTAGTTTACTGAGGACACTAGGCGTCTGGGGAATGAGTAAAGTACAACTGATTGCTGACAAACATTTACACTTTAACATGGGATCAAAACCTTGAACTCCAGGAATAAAGTTTTTTAAATTTCAGGCATCAGACAGCAAAAGGTAATTCCTGGAGGCCCTGATGTCTTGCTACATAGGGGGTTGCTTACTTTATCTATACAGAACAATAGTCTTAGCATCTCATTTCTATAACAACCAGACACCCCAAGAGAGACCTCACCCCAGCTCCAAAATCCCATACCCTTGGTTCCCAAGGTATAATACTTATCATGAATTGGGGAGAGTAGGCAGTGAGGCCAAGTAGGCCTAGACTAGATTGGCACATAGACCTCCCCAAAAGGAATCAGGGATTGTGGGGGAGGGCCAAAATAAAGAAGCCACAAGAGAGGGAGAAAGGAGAAAAAAGAAGGATCCACCTGCAGTGTTTGAAGCAAAACCACTGAAGACAGTATCCCTGAACTGATCAGTGGGGGAACGGGGGAAGGGATATCAGATATTTACCATTGATGGTGAGATGCACCCAGCTGCCATTGTGGAAGGTGTCGTATTGTTGGTCCAGCATGAGCACTTTGCACTCGTACCAGCCCTGGTCTTCTGAGCGTACCTGCTCCAGCCGAAGGGATGCCTTATCGTGAAGACTGGCCCGGCCTGAACGGAGTATAGAAGAAGGGGAGGTCTCTCAGACATCATTAGGTAAAGGCAGTCATATCATGGGCCCAGCTTGTAATTTCCCACCCCCACCCCCACCTGCTAAGATACAGGAAGGAGAGAATGGGAAACCCATCTCTCATTCCATGCCAAGAAATGGGAAACCCTATGCCAAGGCCCCCAACACAGACACCACCAACAGCAGATGGTGGCGGGTGGAGAAAGAAGTAAAAAAAAAAACTCCAGGCATCCCGCCCCCACCCTAGACCCATGCTGGCCTAGCCCCAGACTTCAGGGGGAAGTCATCATTCAAGATGCTTGGCAGAGAAAGGGGCCTTGGTTCCCTAGACTACATCCCCACTCTTTCCCAGAGTTCCAAGGGGCAAGGAAAGGCTTGACAGATGCAGAACAGAAATTTGGAAGAAATATGAAAGAAAAAACTAAGACAGAAAGAAACAAACAGGCAGGATTGAGGGGGTCCCAGCCCAGCAATCTATGATGGAATTTAGAACTGCAATCTATGATAGAATTTAGAACTTTTGATCATTTATTATCAGGAAACTGAGGCCTGAAGAGTTTAGATGATTTTCCCAAGAAAATCATCACAGAGGTAGTAGCCAGAATTCAAATTCAGATCTTTTGATTCCATTGCTGTCTTTACTATGGCATACTGTCTCTCTTTTCTGCCAGCCCATCTCAGTCCAAAGGACTTTGCTATGCCCCCATAACCTCCCATTTCTGCCTGGGTTCCATAATAGAGAGAAGAAATGTCACTGGTTGGATGCTAAGGTCCCATTCCCAGCCTTGCCACCTTTTCTAACTCTACAAAAGCAAGGGTGCTCGATGATGAAAGTATCTATGTATATGAGTGCAGATAGGTATAGTTACTGAACTCAGAGCAAAGAGAAGAGAGGGGAGCTAAGCAGAGGCCCCATTGGGAGGTCCAGTTTTCCCTCAGAAGCTTTTCTCTCTCTACTGCCTTGGACTCCTTTTCCTGATAGCAGGGATATACTAGCTGGACAGGAGCAGTCTAGCTGTCTCACCCTGTCCTGGGCCACTAAAATGACACAACGGTGCCCACGCTTTCTGGTCTCCATTTCTGCCACCATCAAATCCATCCCTCAACTCCAGGGCTACCCCATAGCTTATTCTGCTTCCTTCCCCTGCCTCCTTGCCAGCTAATACTGTCACCTGGGATAGGGGCTGCTGCTCTACAGAGGTTCCTATGGAATAAACAGAGACAAAAGTCAGGGGGAACTGGAAAAAGTGGAATACTCAGGGAAAGGCTTTGGAATTTAGGATGCAGAAGTCAAAAATCCAGAAGACTGTAGCCAGGCAAACTCTTCTCTTATTCCACTAGCCTCCTTTCCTCCAAACTCCCCAAAATGCACGAGCATACACACACGCACACACACAAATAGCCCTGGCAGGCGGGTGGCTGACTGGCAATGAGTCACAGACAGGGAGGCCACTGCTGGCAGGAATAATTGCAGAGCAAGATGAAAATGGGGCCAGGAGGAGTGGAAGATGTATCAGGAGGGGCTTCAAGAGGAAGCCCAGGCCTCTGCCAACAGCTCTGATGATGCAGGGTGGTACAGACAGAGGGGGCTGTTTTGTTTGTCCTTTGTTCTCAAAGAGGACCATGCCATCAGAAAGGTGATGCCATGACTTGCAAGTGAATTGGATTTAAGCAAGGCTGGGCTGTGCAAAGTCATCAGCCTCACTCTCTCCTCTGAAGCAATCTGGGTCCAATGGCAAGATATAGATCAAGACAACTGGATATGGCCCCAGATGCAGTGGGAGACCTTGGCCTTTTTAAACTAAGGTCTTACCCACATCTCAGTTTGACTGAGGCAATGTCCATTCAGTGATTAAGGCCAGGTAAGAAATAAGGCAAAGAATGGCCTCTTTTACCTAGTGCAAAAAAAGAAAAAATCCGTCTGGGAGGAGAAGACCCTCAGAGTTTCTGGCCAAAATTTACACTCACTCTGACTCATCAGAGTCCAAAGAGTGAGCAAATGAGGCTTGGGCCAGGACCTACTGTTGGCCAATCAATAAGAGCCATAGTGATTTGGGTTTAAAGCATGGTCCTTAAAAAAAGAAATTTAGCCCATAAACCCCAAGATATCTTTCGAGGTTTCAGCTATCAAAATTTATATTCCTTCGGGCAGAGCACCCGAAGGTAGGAGGACAGTAAACAAACAGTAGACTCACTGGCACATACACACACACACACACACACACACACACACACACACACACACACACACACACACACACACACACGCACACGCACTCACGCACGCACGCACGCGCGCTCCAGAAAGAAGAGAGGCTCCACCTTCTGAACCCAGGGGGAGGGAGTGGGTGAGGCTAGACAGGACTAATTCTACAGCTGCTGTAAAGCCACCTGGAATTGAAGCGGAGGAGTTCCATCAAAAGGGTCCTTTCTGACTCAACTTCCTCCCTACATAGAAACTGACTCCTACTCCACTGCCCCGCCTCAGCTCTGTCCCTCTGTGTCACATCTGCCTTTTGCTATCAGTCTCCCTTCTTTCCCTTTCTCTCCCTCCCCACCTCCAGTCCTTATTGTTTCTCCATCTCTCCATCCAGTATCCAAAGGCTGTTCTTGGCAGAAGGACAATGTCATATCCCCAGCATCTGTAGCTCACCCCCCTCCTGCCTCCATTCCCATTCCCTCCCTCCTATTCAATTAAAACCAACCAGAGCCAACAGGGAGGAAAGAGACAGACACAAAAATACATTGAGACAAAAAGCAGGACAAGAATAAATAGAAACCAACATGGAGAGAAAAAGACAGGACAAGAAGGAACTTCAGACAGGCATTGGATTCTAAGCTCCTTGAGGCAGGGACTATCTTTTGCCTCTTTTTGTATCCTCAGTGTTTAGAAGGCACAGCACCTAGAACATAGTAAGCACTTAATAAATGCTTATTGGCTGACTCCTGAGAGCTGAGGAGGCCAGGGAGCTGTCAGAGGCTTTTGAGGATACAAAAAGAGGCAAAAGACAGTTTCTGCCCCCAGTGAGCTCACAATCTAATAGGAGAGACGACAAATAAATATGTACAAACAAGCTACATATCAGATAAATAGGAAATAATTAACAGAGGAAAAGCAGCAGAATTAAGAGGGGCTGGAAAAGGCTTCCCGTGAAAGATGGCACTTTAGCTGGGATTCAAAGGCAGGTCCCTCAGCAAGTTGGTGGTAACTTTGGGATTTGAACCAAGGTACAAGGGACACCATGAACACCACCACCACCCCAACCTTACCTGCATACTCAGGATCCACGTGAGGGGGATAGTAGCCAAACTTGATGAATATGGGGATGGGAACCCCAAACTTGAACCATTCGACCACGTAGGGGGGAGGTTGTCCCGTCACAGGGTGGATCACATCGCATCTCAGAATAACGCCCTCGCCAGCCCTTGCAGTCACAAACTCAGGCTCCTCCCGAAGGCCGTGGGCACCTAGTAGCCACAGTATAGTTTAAATAGGTAATGAGGGTAGGAAAGAGGTATCCACTCCCAGAGACAGGCTCCCATCTCTTCTTCACTTGTCTGTACTGACTGTCCCTCATGCTCAGAATGCTCTGTTCCCTCAGTCCCATCTCTGGATTCCCTTGGTTTTCTTCAGAACTTAGCTCAAATCCCAACTTCTACAAATCTTTTCTTGTCCCCCAGAAGCTAATGCCTTCCCCTCTCAGACTGACTTGATCTAGTCTGTATGTATCTTATATGTACTTAGTTATTTACATGTTGTTTTCCTTAGTAGAATGTAAACTCCTGGAGGACAGGGGCTGTTTTTGCCTTTCTTTGCATCCCCAGCACCTACTTAGCACAGTGTTTGGCACACAGCCAGTTTTAATCAATGCTGACTGACTGACAGATCCTCTCACCTCCCTAACATACCCTCATCCAAGACCACTCACCTCAGAAACAGTCTTCCTGGCCCCAAAGGGTTAACTCCCACTCCTCAGAAATATCTTATCTTCCAAGAAGGGATAGACCACCATCCCTGACTTGATCTCCATTCACCAGACTATCATTCCTTCCCCAGAAGACTAGAACACAGGAATACCCTATTCCACAGTAGAGCACCACCTTTTGCAAAGGATTTCCTCCATCCCCCAGATCTATTAATCCTGATGGCTGCATCTTCCCTCTGCCTGAGGAAACCCTAAAACATCCCAGCCTTGGGAGGAAGGGGAGGGAGAGATGATGGAGCTAAAGAAAGAGTAGCTCACTAAAAGCCAGAATTTCCCTCTCAGGATAAAGTGCATTGGGGTCATAAGCACCTCTCTGCCCTGTCTGCCCTACTCTCCATAAGACACACACACACACACACACACACACACACACACACACACACACACACACACACACAAAAGGACTCCCGCCCCCTCTCTGTGGAGCCCCCTTGCCAGCTGTAGCTAGCTATTATACACACACATTTCCATCTAAGGCTCCACAATCAGAGTTTAGAACCAAAACTGCAGACACAACCACCCTCCCACCCTCATCTGGGCACTGACAGATGCTAGCACCAAAAAAAGAGGGGGGAGACTCTGGGAAGCACTAGGGGAATCCCTGACAAAGCAGAGGCGGTTTGGGGCACCACTGGTGAAATAAGCTAATTGGCCAGTCTCTCCCCTGCCCACCCCCACTCCCTCCATTCCTTTCTGGCTGCCGCAGAATGGGGAGGGCTGGTTGGTGGGAGGGACCTCACTGTCATCTGATCATCCAGTTTCTAATCCAGAGGTTCTTAACCTTTTTGTGTCATGGAGTCCTTTGGCATTCTGGTGAAATCTATGAACCCCTCTCAGATGTTTTCAGATGCATACAATACACAAAGGAAACTAATTACATTTAATGTTTTAAATTTCCATTCAAGTTCATAATCTAAGAATCTATCCTTGACCATTGGTGATTTACCAGGCACCATCACTGGGATGGCAGAGAAATGGAAAGGGGAGAGAGATTTATGGGGCTAACTTCACTATACCTTATTGTTCTACTGGTAGAAATAATTATTTCAATGCTGAAGGGAAATTAAGCAATCATCTGAATTCTTAGACCCCCTAACTATGGCTGGTTATAGAGTGAGGCAGCCCTTATTCAAAGAGCTAGGGGACAAATACTCTTATGTACCCCCCTCACCAAGACAGAAAAAGCAAAAGAATTCAATTAACCCATGCACTACCAAACTACCACAGATTCCTGCTACTCCACCATACTCTCCCCAATCCCTCAAGCAAGGCTAAAATCTTTTTAACACCTCCATTCCCACTGCCCTCTAAAAAAAAATACCTCTTCTTTCATTCTAAACTTCCTTCTAGCAAGGTCACAAGGTCACCTTGTTCAGTGGAGGTCCTTATAAGAGAGGGGGAAATGAAGAAGTCCCTCCCCAAATGCTACTAGCTCCCCATCACTAGTCCAAATTGCTCACATCTCCACAAGCTTCAACCTTACCATGCTAACATTGCCTTAGCACCCCAAGATTATCACCCACCCACCCCCAACTCTTATGAAGGAAGAAGCAGAAGAAGTATGGGGCTTCTCGCTGTACTAGGCTAGCAGCCCCAAAATATTAGCTGCTTGACCCTTTGCTATATGAGTGCTGCCTCCCTCTGCTCCCCCCTCCCATCCTACTCCCACTGCAGTTGTGGGGCCTGGTGCTGAGCAGGGAGCCCAGGAGGAGAGCAGCATCCTGACTCTCTGCAACTTGCTGAAGGAGGAGGAGGCAAACCCTTCTTGAAGCTGATTGGCTGCAGGTGACATCACTGTTTTCTAGAGAAGGAGCTAAGATCACTGGATATTTTTGGAGCAGAGCACAGCACTGCACTCACCTGCTAGTGGCCCCAGCAGGTTCTCCAGCCCCCTCCCCCAATCCCAATCTATGTTGCACCTCTAGCCCCTCTATGAAGGAACGGGGAGGTATGCAGTTGCAGTGACTCCCTCCTCCCCAGTCAGAGAATTTAGGCAATGCTAGGCATTTCAGGAAGGCTAGAGAATCTCCCTCTTCCCTCCCTCAACCCCCTGATTCCCAAGGTGAGGAATTGGGGGAAGGGAGCCCAGTAAAGGGATAGCAAGCATCTCAAGGGACATGAGGCATGGGTATTTGTAGAACCTCAGTAAGAGTGAATGCATGCAGACAGAGATGTTTGTGTGTATCTCTGGAGTGTGGATCTGCAAGGAAACCACAATGAGAAAGCAGAGTAAGGAGACAGAGCCACTCCAAAGAGGGGGGGCTGGGTATGTTGTAGTTTGTCCAGAATGGAAGATATCCTTTGGATGGATGGAGCCTCTTACCCTATGGTGAGATGAAGAAAGGGCCCCAGAAAACAATTTAACAATGATGGGCTGATGGTTAGCTTTCTATGCTGAAGTCCTTTTTGTGAAGCCCCACTCAGGAATGTAGGACTTTGGGTAGGAAACATTCAGAAGACATATTGGGGAAAGGGGTATCTTAGCTTGGGGACCCACTCCTGCCTTGGCTGTTCTCACAGCTCTGGCTGCTCATTTGCACCTCTCTTTGCCTGATTTTCACTGCATCTACCAAAGAAGCTGGTGGTTTCACACCTCCTCTGGCTGGAGAAAGCTTCTGGGCTTCCAGCTGCCTCCTAGCCAGCCCCCAGAAAGCAGTGAGCCACTCCTTGACCTCTTTCTTTACCATCCTCCTTATTCTAGCAACTGACACTGGGCATTGCTGGCACATAGGAAAAGAGCCACTCAGCCACCAGCCTGGCACTGATCCCACCTCTGACCTACTCACAACCCAGAGCTCATCTACCAAATGGAAAATTAGGAGGGGGAGCCCTGAGAATGGAGCCAGAGAACCTCCCATGGTTCAGCTTTAGGCTTTTAATGCCATAGATAATCAGGAAAGGAAAAAGCCAGGCTGAGTTCAGATTCTGTTATCACTCAAATTTCCCTTTCTAGCACCACCTTTTCTTTGTCCTCTAGGAAGAACAATCCAACTCACAATCCTGAATATCCTACTGCATATGATAGCTGGTATCCAAAGCTTATGGCACTGATGGTACTTGGGGTGAGCCCCAAGTGTTTCTCTCCACTCCATATGGTTTGGGGAGAGGCACCACCACACTTCCTAGTCCATTTTTCCTTTCCCCAGATGCCTCCCATGACATGAGTTCTCATAATACTGGTGTTTCTACTTGATAGAATCAGAGTCAAAACTGAAAGGAACTTTAATAACCATCCTAGTCCCAGAGTGTTTAATTGGCTTACCCAAGGTCACACAGCTAGTTAGCAGCAGAGTCCAGACTCCAACTCATGATTTCTGATTACAAGTCACTTAGTGCTTTTTCCATACAATTTGCTCGTTCTTAGAGGGGATTAGGACATATGTGTGTTGGGGGAGAGAGGAAGAGGAGGAAAGAGTATATGATCAAAGCTAATGAACAAAACAGAGATGAAATTGCCTAGAAATTAGGTAGGGGATTCAGAGCCCCTGTCCCAGTGGGGAACTGCCTTCACACTCCAATCCCTCCTGTATCCTGAAATATTTACCTATCTTTTTTCCTTTATAGCACTAAATATACATACAGACACAGACATAGACATGCACACACACACACACACACACACACACACACACACAAACAGAGGAAACAGTCTTTTCTCTCTCTCTTGCCCATAGCTCCCACTGTCTTGGAGCCTATCATTCTCCTCCTTTGGAACTTATTCTAAAAAATTATGTTTCAGCAAATTTTAACCCCAAATGTATCTCTCTGTTTACCTATACCTCTTCCTGCTCCCCAAATTGTTGAGGGATAGCTCCAGGTTTAGATACCCTGCCTCCCTTGCCTCTCCTCAGCTCAGCTAAACACAATGAGGTAAGACCTAAAGGCACTTACCCCCCACATTCTCTAGATTGTCTAGGAAGCCTAGAAAGAGGATATAAAAACAAGAAAGTCATGGAGGAGTGGACCATGAAAGAAAGAATTTAGAAGTGGTGGGGACAGAGACCCAGTAAAAGCATGCAGCACTGTACGGATCTCCCCTGACCCTTATCGTAATATTCATAGTAGGCACTTAATAAATGTTTGGTTTTTGAATGAATGAATGAATGAATGAATGAATGAATGAATCCATTAAGAGACTCAGAGAGACAGTGACAATGCAAAAGAAAGAGAAGTCAGTAATGGAAACATAGAAACCAAAACCTTTAGAGGATCACACACAACTGCCCAAGTCAAGAATGAAAAAGGAAGAATTCGACTCAATTCAACAAACATTTATTAAATGCCTACTATATACAAGATGCTGTGGTAGGTTGTAGAAATGCAATTTAGGAAAAAATGATCTTTACCCTCAAGGACTTTACAGTCTAACGGAGAAAGGTGAGGCTGAATTGGTAGACCAGTTTAAAGAGGAATCATGAGGCCAAAGCTAACTAGGAAAGATAACTCTTGTCTGGGCCTGATAGGGAAATGGGAAATGGCCAG